GCACCCCCACACCTCCACTAGGAGGAGGGCGGGCGGCCCAGGGAGCTGGTGGCAGAAGCAGCAGAGAAAAGGCTGTCACTGTCCTTTCTTCCTTTTGGTACAAGAGTCTCCCTGAGCCGGCGATTCTCCTGTAGTGACACCTCTCACGAGCACTAATGAGATCCATGTCACAGAGCTAATGCGCTCTGACTAGGCTCTTGATAGACACCCCACTCCTTTAGGGGAGACCACAGGCCAGTACTGCCCTCCTGGGGCCAGACCCCCATCCTGCCACTTGCCAGCCCAGCTCTCTTGCCAAACTGTGCTGGGCAACAAACTCCTGAGAGAATCCACTTGTTGTCTGGCCATCCTGCCTTACCAGGAGCCTCAGAGGGACCCTCCTGAGTTCCTGAGCAGAGGGGTTAAGCAGCCAGGGCAGGACCACCCAGCTGGACATGAGGGAAGGTTCCAGTTATTCTCCCAGACAGCTGAAACCAGCAGTCCATGGGCCTCCACGTCCCAACAACTGGTGAGGTTTACGAACACTTCCTTTGCAGACTTCCCAAAAGAAAGCAGCCAAGGAGGCCTGGGTCTTGCCCTTAGAGAGGTCAAGTATGTGGGGACCGATCATTAGCAAACAAATTATGGTCAGGGACTAAAGGTGTATTCTGTACGCCCTCACTGGGGGGGCCAGGCAGGATTCCCAGAGGAGGTGGCCCCTGGAAGATGCACAGGTTTTCCTGAGCCAAGAGGTAGAGAGCAAACGGAACTCACAGAGTAAGGACTGTCGGGGTCAGAAAAAGGTCAGAAGCTAGTGGCTGTGGGGCCTTGGCTCTGAGCGCGACTACGGCAGGAGAGAAGGGGCGGCAGTGCTTCCTTTCCGTTCTTCCTCAGTTGTTGCTACTGAAGCTTTGTCACGGCCTGTAAGTTCCACTGACACTGAAGGGAACGAGGGAAGTGAGCTTATTTTCTTCCTTCTTGTCTCTGTTGGTAGCACAAAGCCTGACACTAAAAGGTACTCCCAGTTCTGCACAGTGATAAGAACATAGGCTCAGCATTTATACGGTCCTGGGTTTGAATCCTGACTCCTCAAGTCAATTGGCTGAGTGACCTCAGACAAGTAACTTAACTAGTTAAGCCTCAGTTTCCTGCCTTATACAATGGGAATGATGATGTCTGCCTTCATAATACTGGTGTGAAAATTAAATTTGTTAACATAAATGCCCCCCAAATAATGTGCGTGTCTTGCTGACCCTGGGCTGAAAGGAAAGAAGCACAGCACTGATCAGTCCCTGTGGAGGCTGCCTGCCGAGAATCTTTGGTCCAAGCCAAGGAAGCTGACAGAGCCCACGAAACAGCCAGTTCTACACACACGCAGTCGCTCCTCACCCACAAGCCGCTCCAGCAGCTCTCTGCTCACCAGGCTCACCAGGCCAATCCCCTCCCCCAAGAGGCGTCCTCCTGACTGCGAGGCCATGCTGACAGCCCACAGCCCGTCCTCCCAGAGCTTCACTGCTTCCATCGCTGGGCCCCCTCTCCCTCAGTCCCCAGGGCCAAGCCGTTACCCGCTCCTGGACGGTGCCTGTGAGCTCTGTGAGGGCTGGGCACTGTGTCCCACTGTGTCTGTCATCTTTACCAACACATTTCTAGCACTTATCCCATAGTAGGAGCGAAGTAAATGTTCACTGACTTGGTCCTGACTCATTCCCACAGCCACTGCTGGCTCTGAATTAACCATCACCCCCATGTACCTTACTGCACCTCCCCTTCTGCAGTTTCTCCTCACTAGTCTTCCCTGCACACACTCTCAGGCTGCTCTGACCAGGTCACTCCTCTGCCCGGACGTTCCCACACTCCCCCTCAAACAACTCAGCCACCCATATCCATCCTAACAGCCATCTCCCTTCTGTAGCTGCCCCTCCCATCAGTCCACCCCTCCCGTATGCCTGCTCCCTTGCTCTCTCAGCACCCCCACCACTCAATGCTTGGCAGGAGTCCCCGCAATGCAGACCCCACAGGCTCCTCCTGCTACACATACCTAAGAAAGAGGATCAGGATCATCAGTGGGTTTAGGGTCATTGGTAATTTGGGAGAACCAAGCAGATCCTGGAGATGGCTAAGCTATGGGATCTGCAGAACCCTTGCCCAGCATAACCAATGCTGCCTCACCCCCACCCCCAATATACATACCACTCCCCACTCCAGGCTGGCAGCTCCTCACAGAGTTAATTAGCACCATGTCACTGAGGACCAGCCTGAGTGGCCAGTGACAGGAGCTGACCCCTGACCCCAGGGCTGGGAAATAGTCCACATCAAACTCTTACAGCACGACCCTTTTAGCACGCACAGTAACTCGGGGCACCGCCAGCTGAAGCTCATTAAAGCTGTCTCTTTGGCGCGAGGGCCATTAACCTCACTGCTCAAAACCCATGCCTCCCCTCCCCGCCTCTCCCAGCCCAATTAATGCCCTGCATCTTCCCTCCCTTCCAAGAACCCTCACCCACACCTCAGAGCCAACCAGGAGCTGGCAGGGCAGCCCCCTTCATTCAAAAATACAAACACCAAATACCAGGAATCCCCAGTGTCCTTGAGTACCCACTGTGTGCCAGGCACTGCGCAAGCCCTTCACACAGCTGACTTCACTGAACCTTCCCAACAGCCACGAGAGGCAGTAGCACCATCCCTTGTCCAAGGTCACAGGGCTCTGGACGGTAAAACTAAAACAACTGGCTCCAAAGCCCTACTGTGTTGTCGCTCACAGCCTTGGGCTGTCCCCTAGGGCCCACCCAGATGGAAAAACCTTCTCTTATAAAGAAGAAAGGAACACCTCAGGGGTCCTAACCCAGAATTGACATGAGTGAAGAGAGAAGAAGGGCACCACTGAGTCCCAGGAGGCAGCAAACAGTGGAAGCAAGGAAGCCCTTCCTCTCAAAAATATACCCTGGACAGATACATGGAGGGAGGGCACCCAGCTCCCTGTGCAGGGGGAGTTAACCCAGTCCGGCTGGTCCCTGCCACTGGGCAAACTCAATTACAGGCAGTTCCTCCTCCCCTGGGCCAATGCAAGTCCTCTCACTGGTCCTCGTTCTCTGGTCTCTCCCTTTCCCATCACTCTTTCATTGACTCATCTACGTGTTCATTCACCACCTGACTGGATTTATTGAGCACCTATTAAGAAGTAGTTTGTGCAGCACAGAGTGCCTCAGTGTGTCTGAATCAGAGCTCTGATCACGCTGTTTTCTCACAAACCTCCTGTCTCATCAAAACCTCATGAGAAATCCACTCCCTTTAACCTACCATCCCAGGCAGGTTACGTCCCTACTGATTTTTTAGCCATTCCCTAACCCAAAGGTCCCACTGCAGTCACTGGAAACTATTTGTAGATGTCTCACCTGCCATCTCAGTATGCCAGGCTTCCTCGTGCCCTCAGGCTTTGTACACTTCCCCCTAAGAAGAAAATCCTTTCCCCATTTTTCTGCCTAACAAACTCCTATTCATCCTTCAAGGATCTGCTGACTCAAGTGTCCTCTTCTCTAGGAAACTTTCTGCTCACCTCCCAGGCATATCACCTTGCTAAGTTTGGGGTCGACACTAGATTGCACAGAACAGCAGTTGGGAGACAACAGCAATTGCTGTGGTGTACCCCCCAAATCCTTAGGCCCATTGACCACACCCCACCCCCAACAAGAATGATACAGGGCGTCCCAGAAGTCAGTAAGATGTAAGTGAAGGAGAGAAGCCATTTGGCAACGGAGAAAACCTTGTTTGGGGCAGCCCAGGTGTTTCTAACACAGCCCTCAGTGGCCTGGGTAGCAAATGCCCAGTTCAATCTCTGTCTCCTCCAGGATGTGAGCTCCCTGGGGACAGGAACTTCTACTCAGAATGCCCAGCACCCACCAGGCACCAATGATGTCTGTGGAAAGGATGAGGGGCTCATCTGTAGCAAGTGACTGGTTCCTTTGGTGTATCTTGCCAGTCCCTTCCTTCAGCCCCTGATACCTTCCCAAAGGTACACTGGCTATGATAATGTCATAAAGCCACCCAAGAATACCCCTGTTCCTCCCCACTTGGAACAAAGCCTTGCCTGCTAAAAACCATTTGCATGCACATGCACACAAAATAAGACACATAGAAATGAAGAGACATACTTTCTGACAAGCTGATGACTGCTCCCATATACAGACACATGCCCTCAGGAAAATATAGAGATATACTGCTATACACATGCATCCCTCAAATATAGACATACACGGATACACATATACTCTTAGACACACGGAGACATGCAGCTGAAGTTGCCAAATGTACATGCGCGCGCGCACACACACACACATACACACAGTCACTCACAGACAGACACGTATCCATACTGAGAGAACAGAGGCTAGCAGAGCCTCCAATGCCTAGAACCACGGCCATTTCAGCTCCTTCCAAGCAGTAATCCCCCTGAGGGTGCACCCCCACCTGGTACCCCAAGTGGCCCCTCCCAACCCAGGCACCGTTCAATGGAGGCTGCTGCTCCTGCGGGGGAGTCAATACCCTGTGGACGGAGCCATCGGTCAGAAGGACCCCGACTAATTAAAAGCTGGTGAGGTTTAAATAATTCATCTCCTTAACTCCCATTGATCGCCCAGTTTAGTGGCCACAGACTTGAAACAATATTAAACAGCCTCCTCCAGCTCCACGGGGGGTGGGTGAGCTGACATGTGCCCACCTCTCTGAGGACATCTCCCACCAGAGATTCAGTCAGAGGCAGGGGTAGCTTGGCTTGAATCCAAGGCCACCTGTGACCCACCCAAAGCCCAGACCCCAGTCTCCTCCTAAATATTGTTTTGAGAGACCCTTTCCAATGGTCTGGTTTCATTCTCCCTTCATACCCCCCTTTCCCCGCTCTCCCCAGCTACAGAGAGCACCTTGTTAGAGCTCAAAAAAAGCCAGAGAACCCCTCTGTGAGCCAGGGGACTGGGGCATGTGGACAGGAGACTGACCAGGCTGCCAGGGGGACATGTGGAAGGACTGACCAATGCCGCTGTGGGGCCGGCCTATGTGCTGGAGGCTGAGGCCCTTGTTCATGTCTAGAAGTCCGTTCTTGGGCCAGCAGCCCATGGCGAAGCTGTAAGCCTGGAAGACAGGAGGCAAGAATGGTTAACAGAGGCCCTGACCCTGAACCAACCCATCACTCCCCCCATCAAACCTTTCCCCCAAGGACTTATTCTCATCATACCACTTCACGATCGTCCCCTCACGGGGTCCCCTTGCCACCCAAAACCCCTTCTGCCTCTAGAGCTCCCTTTCTCCTGGGCATCTCCCTCTGGCCCTCACTGGGTGCCCCCTCACAACTCCTCTAGAGAGCTCCTAGTTACTAAGACCCTCCTTGTCAGGACCCCGCCTCTCATCACGGGACCCCCTTCACCTTAAATTCCCTCCTCTCCAGAGTCCTCAGCACTCTGCTGGGCCCCCTCCCATAGCATTACTGGTCGCAGAGACTGTGGTCCGGAAGACTTGGAGACTAACGTATTCAAACTTCACAGATAGGAAAACCAAAGTGAGGGGGGCCCCACCTGCCTGTGGTCAAGTTGCTTTTGACCCAGAGACAGGCGAGACTGTAGAAGGCTGAGTGCCATGTGAGTGTTCAACTGGGGAGGGGTAAAGTCACCTGGTGACTTAAGCAGCAGTGAGGGGAGCACATGAAGGGTGTGTGTGTGTGTGTGTGTGTGTGTGTGTGTGTGTGTGTTAGGAGAAGCAGATCTCTGCTGAAGGTCAAGTGCTCACTTATGCATATTCAAAGCGGCCACCCATCGATCTGTACTTAATTGTTTTCCTGGGGTTGGGGAAGGAAGTGCTGGGGGCATCGATCTGCTCAGACCCCCAGCACTTCATTGCTCCCCTCCATCCCCTACTCCTGTCACCTGACAGCGGCCAAACTCCATGGGGAAGGAGGAGTAAGGTACATGGCAGGACAGGGATGGCACCTGCTCTTACAGTCCTTACAGGCATGATGACCTGATGTCACAGGTGAGGAAACTGAGACCCAGAAAGAAGAGACATACAAGGGTTAGAACACCATTAAGTGGCCCATTGGGAATTTAATTCCTGCTCAGCCTGCTGGCAAAGTCCTGGGCCCCTACCAGTGGGCTTGCATAGCTAGCTGACACTTCAAACATTATCCTTCCACTCACTTTAGAAGTCTCCAAACATCAGGCTGCCTTCTCCCAGTGGCAGGAAGCATGTGGGACAGTGGTCAATGGGGATGAAGCTTGGGTGAGTCCCCAGAAGAAGTTAGATGGTGAGTCCGCTGATGATACTAAAGTGACCGTAGCCATGGGCAGACAGGCACTGAAGTGCCCCTGCCCATCACTATGCCCAAGAGGTCCCCAGCCCACCACAGACTCCTTCATAAGGGAGAGCACCCAGCATAGGTTCAGAAACAAAGGCAGGAAGCTGGACACAAAGTCCGTGCCAGGGCTGAGGAGCTGGGCAGAGGGCTAGTATCCTTCGTTCCCAGCTGCAGGAACCAAGCCTCGGCCACCTGGGGAACTGAAAGGCTAGGAGTCAGTGTACTTCACCCTTAGCACCCTCCAAAGCCATTATCCTTGACCACAGAGGTACTAGCCACAGCCCAACTTCCCAGCCAACCCTCCCACCCTTTCCCAAGTCACAGCTGCAACCACAAATTGGGGGCTGAGTGTGAGACTCAAGGACAGGGGAGAGGTCGCTGGCTTTGAGCCAGGGCGGAGCTGGAGCTGGGAACGCAGGCGGGGAGGGAAAGCAGCCAGTGGGTGGTGCAGAGCTGAAGAAGCTGCTATGCATGGTCAGGGCCAGGGCTGGAGTGCAGTGGGCCAGAGAGCAGTGGCGGGCTGGCTTTCAAGTACTTTAAAATCACTTACAAAGGCCGGATTAAACGATCAGAAATTCCATTTAATAGGACAAATAAAGAAATAACAATCTACTCTATCAGCCCGGAGAAGGCAAGCTGGATAGTTTTTTTTCTCCTTCTAAAAAGGAAAAAGGGAAGGAAGGGAAAAAAAGAAGGATAATGTGTGTTTACTCAAGCAAAGAAAAAAATATTTAAGTGATGTCGGGGAGAAGATTGCAGTAACTAGTGAAGAATAACATCGTCTACTTTGCTGTCAAATCACACCCGAATTTCAGTAATAGATTCTCGGCTGACACTCAATTCAATTCGAAGGTGATCCTGCTTTATCCCAGCCCATCAAATATTAAACACTTGCATTAGCAGGTGCTGCCGCTTCCCGGCTTAAAGCGGCGGGCGGGCGGCAGGGCTGCTGAGGCCCCTCTGCTCTGCTCTCGGCTCAGGGACAGGGCAGCTCAACGTTATCTGCACGTCATCCTGAGTCTTATCGCAGCTAAGCGAGAAGACCACTTCAGATAACATTAGACGCTTGCCCCAATGCGTGTCAGTATGATTAGATTATTATTATAATAATGACTCCCCAAGAACTTCCCCCGACTGGGACATGTGGAAGGGGGGTGGAGGGCAGCGAGCCCAGGAGGACCAGGCTGGACCAGGGCAAGCCAGAACCCACGGCAGGAAGCAGGGGCACCAAGGAAGGCGGCAGCGCGGGTCCCGCCTGACGGATGCCTTTCAGGAAGGGCAGTCTAGCTTGTCAGAGCCAGGGCGAGATGAATTGGCGTCTCCACCGTGGCCGCGGGTGTCATGCCGCACAGTTTCATATTCCCAGATAAGTGTGATAACCAATTGCTGCTGTGACATGGCCTCATCCAGCGCTTCCTCAAGGGGGCCCAGGCGGGGGAGGGGCAGTGCGTGCACATGGGTCTGGCAAGCTCCTAATAAGAGGGATTTAATTTTTACAAATGCTGCTTCCAGCGGGGCCTTCACATACCAGCCAAAGTCCAAAATGATATTAAAAATGGTTAATTAAAACTGCTTTTCTTCAGCCTGGGCTCTCCCTCTGCTGCCCTGCTGAGAATCCTGGCATGTCTCCTCCAGGCACTGCCACATACTCCTGCAGAACTGAAACTTCACGCGTGACCACCAGTCTCATGGAACCCCTAGGCACAGTAAGATGGACAGTACCTCAAGCTACCCCTGCCACCTCAGGTACCTTTCAGGCACAGCCAGTGGACACAGAGCGCCACGCAGCGAATACAGGGTCCTATAGCAACCTGTGCTCCCACCTATATGAGGTCTGAATACTTACACCTGCTGCCCTATGCACTTGTACCCACATGCCCACCACCCTCAGCACACATTTCTAAAGTCCCTGCCCTCCCCCCAGATATATGCACTACGGAGCGTGCATACCCATGCAAGTGTGCACACCTCCTTCCATTCCCACCCCCTCCTGACATCCTCCCTAAGAGATTACATCCACTCAGGATTCTTTTTTTCTTTTTTTAAATATATTTTTATTGATTTCAGAGAGGAAGGAAGAGGGAGAGATAGAAACATCAATGATGAGAGAGAATCATCGATAGGCTGCCTCCTGCACACCCCTAACTGGGGATAGAGCCCGCAACCCAGGCATGTGCCCTTGACTGGAATCGAACCCAGGACCCTTCAGTCCACAGGCCGACACTCTATCCACTGAACCAAACCGGCCAGGGCTCCACCCAGGATTCTTAACAGAGACTTCCTGGGAGTCCATTTCAGAACAGGGTGGTGTGGGCTCTGTCTCAGATTCTGGCTGGGAAGTCAAGTCTGGGACCCCAGGAACCATCAGAGCCGGATGACTCAGGAGGCTGTCCACAGGGACAATGGAGACAAATAGGCCCATGTGGGATTGGAGGCGGCTAGGAAAGCTTCCTGGAGGGCACCAGGTAGAAGACATAGCAAGGGCAAAGGAGAATGGCAGGAGCAAGCTTGGCGAGTGCATAGGCAAGGGCGTGGGTGTTGCTGGGGCAGCCAACATGGACAGGAGTCATATCTTCAGATGCTGCCTCCCAGCTCTGTGCAAACTGGCATCAATCGAGGGGTCTACCGCCTTTCCCCCACTGCTTCCTATTTCCACTCTTTCTCTTCTGCCAGCCTGTGTGGTGTCGGGGTAAGGGACCCAGTAGATTTCTGACCTTGATCAGTGCGGGGCAGGAATCTGTTTTAAGAGCTCTTGCCAAGATCTGTGCCTGAGCCCCTTTTTCATGCTGGTTCCAAATTCTCTGGGTGCCACCTTTCCAGCTGCACTTCTGTCAGCCGTCAGGCCCACTTGATGGGTCCTGACCAGAGGGTGGGGCAGGTGGAAGGATGTCTGAGGAGCCCAAGTCCTGTCCAGGGTAGGTGGAGTTGTGGTGAGAGATGCTGGTCCACCAAACTGCGCCCTCCCAGCCCTGTGCCAGGCAGGCATGCACACTTCCCTTCCCCTGGGCTGCTGTAATTTCCATGCGCAGGGAAGCAGGTGCCGAGCTGCTCCCGGCTGGCTCTCCCCTCTCGTGCTCTGCTCGCCTTGGCTGCTGCCCCATTAGCTTAGTGGCCAGCCATCTGCGACGGGCCTGCCACGCAGCCCTGCTGTAGGCGCGGCGGGTGGCCCCCTGTGTAACAGGGAGCTTTGCCATTAGCGCCTTTAATATTCTGACACCTCAGCACAGCCTGCTATTACATGCAAACGCTGATCGCCCTGTGAAATTACATTGCTGGGCCCGCGAAATGGAATCGTGTATAATCAGCCTCCTCCATGCACTGTCAGTCCCATCACAAACACGGCGCCCGGCGGCTTACGGGGGCTTAGCAGCTGCGACAAGTGTATTGGGTTTAATAGATGAAGTAGCCCTCATCGGCAGCAGCATTAGATCCTTCAAAGAGGAAAGAAGAGGCATCGACAGCTGCTGGGGTGTCTCTGCCCACCCACTCACTACCTACCAGGGCCCTTAGAGTAGGGTGGACACAGAGGGAGCAAGAACCCAGCTCAAACTGCAGACAGAAGCACAGACTACCCTGCAACTTCCACAAAACCCAGAGCTCCCAAGCCAACACCAGCACACCGACATACCCAATCTCTCCACAAGTTGGGGAGGAGCAGGCCTTTAAGCAGATCTCTGGGTGACTGTCACCCTCTGGGCCTAAGGCTGATGGGCCATTTCCCAAGATGAGGAACCAAATCAAACCAAATGCCATTCCCATGAACACTCAACTGACAAAGCTGTAA